TGCTTTTTACTGTTCTTTATATTTTAGGATCAGACTGTTTGTGATGCCCTTGATAAACTTACAACTATTTTATAATTATTGTGCGTTTTTAATTACTTTCAAATCATAAAGATTTATATGAACATATATATATATCGGTCACTTGATTAATTTACTTGTCTATAACTATTTACCCTCCTTTTTATTGAGGGTGTTGGAAGGTTATTTACTAATTGTATTTTCCAAAAGCACTTCATATTGATCATCTTTACTTATTGGTGAAAAAATAAACATGCGAAATTAATAAATTTTCTTTAAGTTCTGTTTTACATACTTTGGTATGGACAATAGGAGGAGGATTCTGAGTACTTGATTGGTGGTACTTGTTATCAACTTAAATCGTTTATGAATGAGTTTTGCTTCTAAATGTTATTTAGCTCAGTACTAACGTAAATAGTTGAACAGAATTAACATAGTAATGTAGGCTTAGTTGTCATTATTATTTCCATTCACAAAACAGAGGATATTTATAACTGCAAATCACTTGAAACCTCAGCAATAAAAAAATATGCTTGAGCTACCATTTAATTTGAGTGAAAAGCAACGATAAACAATTAATTTTCCAACAGTAAACGACCTTTATGACGCTTCAGGGCGATCTCCAATTTTTAAAGTTATTCTTGAAAGTTCACAATATATACCTCAAATTCCCTGTTAATCAAATGATTTGTTGACATTCATTTATTACTGCGATGATTCTGATACTTGGTGTATTTTATCTATTGTGAATCAGGTCAAGACATATTTTAGTACCATAAAGTTGTGCTTACTAATCGTATAATCCAGAAACGATTAATAGTAATTAACCACGTTGAAAAATAACAACTTGGTTAAGGTCCATACAAATAGTATTCTAATTACTATATATATATATTCTTAATAGAACTGAACTCCACCTGTAGCTCCTCTGGGGGCTACTGATAGTCCAAAGCCCACAAAAAGGAGGAGGGTTGGGCATGGAGTTAGCGACACGGTCCCGTAGAAAATCAACTCGGTAAAAAAAACGCTAACCAGAAAAAATTATTCAAACCATTTAAACTCTGCCCTGGGAGTTGAGGGAATAATTATGACGTCTCATGTTGAAAGCCGAGTTCCTTCAGACGTCATGAGGCCGATGAACCTTCTAACAGCCAGAGCAACAATTTTTATAGGTACATGAAAAGTCCGGACAATGTGAGAGATCGGAAGAGTCTTCCAAATTGCTGAAGAAATGAGAAAATACAACCGGAAGGTACTTGGAATCAGTGAAACACATTGGACGCAGGTTGCACAACAAAGACTAGCTTCAGGGAAACTTCTGTTATACTCTGGCCATGAAGAAGAAAATGCTCCACATACATAAGGAGTTGCCATGATGTTGTCCAAACAAGCGCAAAATGCACTTGTAGGATGAGAATCTCATGTATCAAGGATCATCAAAGCCTCCTTTAAATCAAAGAACGTCATCCAATGATGTGCGCCTACCGACGACTACGATGAAGATGCTAAAGACCAATTCCACGACAGATTGCGGTCGATCTTCGAGAAGTGCCCAACAAAGGACCTGACCATTCTGACGGGAGATTTCAAGGCCATGGTTGGAATGGACAACACTTGATACGAAGACATCATGGGACGACATGGACTGGGAGAAAGGAACGAAAATTATGGGAGATTTGCAAACCTATGTGCCTTCAATAAACTGGTCATAGGTGGCACTATATTCCCACACATAAACATACACAAAGCCACTTGGATTTCACCCGATCACACTACACAGAATCAGATCGACCATATCTGCATCAACAGAAGGTTCAGGAGGACGATGGAGGATGTGAGAACCAAGAGAGGAGCTGATCATCACTTACTGTTTGCCAAGATGAAACTAAAACTGAAGAAGCACTGGACAACGGGGCAGACAACATCACAAAAGTTTAGTACGACCTTTTTTCGGAGTACTGACAAACTCAGCAAATTCGAGATAGCCCTCAACAATAAGTTCCAGACCTTTCGTGATCTAATCAATGGAGAGGAAACTACCATGGAGAACAACTGGAAAGGTATCAAGGAGGCAATCGTTTCAACATATCAGGAGGTTCTGGGCCAAAAGAAGCACCATCACAAGAAATGGATCTCTGTCGATACACTGGATAAGATTGAAGAAAGGAGGAACAAGAAGGCAGCAATCAATATCAGCCGAACAAGAACAGAGAAAGTCAAGGCACAAGCGCAATACAAAGATGTAAACTCGCAAGTGAAGAGGAGCATCGGAACTGACAAACGTAAATATGTGGAAGATCTATCAATGATGGCGGAAAAGGCTGCAAGAGAAAGAAACATGAGACAACTGTATGACACAACAAAGAAATTACCGTAAGCCAGAAAGACCAGTGAAAATTATGGAAGGCGAAATGATAGCTAACATTGAAGAACAAAGGAACAGGTGAGTAGAACACTTTAAAGAACGCTTGAATCGACCAGCTCCAGTGAACACACCCAACATCGAAGCAGCACCCACGGACCACTCAATCATTGTTGGTCCATCAACAATTGAAGAGATCAGCATGGCCATCAGACAAATCACAACCTTGTACCCCGGAAGCCGATATTAGTCATCTAGTAATACGTAAACCTAGTATTTTTCTACAAACATAATTTTTCACTGCTGTTCAAGTCAAAGCCATGAGATAAGCCTTTTGCATTTCTTTCAACAAAAGACTTCAAAAATAGTTTTTATAGGATGAGAAATCCTCTTCATGATTTTCAGTGGAAAGAATCACAGGCCTTATAGTAATTTACTCCTTTTATTAGTCGTACACTAATGTTATTCAGTAATAGATTCTATCTAGTAATATGAAGCAATATGATTATTCACTACGTTTCCGGTTCGTTTTGAGATTAGGTTATACACTAATTAGACTTAATCTTGGATACATAATGTCTGAAAATTTATTTTTCACAAGAATAATAGCCTCAACCAAAACGGATATCCCAATAAGAATTTAAAGTCAGCACAAAGTTAGAACTCAGACGTATTTATTTGTTCGTCAATGATGATTAAACAATAAGTAAACAAGTGTGTGGCAATCAATTAGGAAATCCAGTTTTATCTGAAGGCAAAAATGATGTAACGTTTCCTGAAAGCTAAGAATTCAATTCGTTTGAATCAACCCTCCGAAGGCGATGGCATTTTAAGTAAGAAAATGACTGGTGTAAATCTTGAAAAAATCAAGAGAAATTTAGATGAATTAGATGAATTTAAATGATGAAGGATTAAAAATCAAACAAAGTCTGATGTCCGTGAATCTGAGTACATTGCATAGTATTCTCATGGTTCAGGGACAAGCGATAAACGCCCTTTTCTCGAGATATGCAGCTAAGATAAAATCGCTTATATGTCATACTTTAAAAAACAAAAGTGTATGTAGTTGAAATTGTGGTTCTTGACATCATTTCTATCATGAATATAATAGCAGATCTCCCTAATGTTTTAATACCAGAAACTAAGTAGCAAGCTCTCCCAATCTACTCACTTATCAGGATTTAAGTTTCCGTTTTGAAATTACAACCTCTGGTTAAGAAGCTACGAATTTTTTAATCCACGAAACTTTTTTCTGTATTTACATGAAATAATACTCTTCTAATAATAAGGGGATCACAGAAATATGTGGTATGGTGTCGACATAAGTAGTATATGACGCTAGTCAGGAATAGAATTTCTAGCAGCAGAAGATTGAGAAGGTCGATGAGGGAAGAACGTGATCGGAAAGCTGTTGATATGGAAATGAAGGAACAATGAAGTCTGAGGGAATTAATGAACATTTTGAAAATGAAGTATTGGAGTATGCTTTTTTCTATCTTAACAGGTAACTCTGTAATTTTGTGCTGGATATAATCGGTTGTTCTCATCTGTGTTCTCCTTCACTACAGTGGTAACGAAATGTCGGTAAACATCTGAATGTTAGATCATGTGCCCACATCTTTCTAAGTTTGGACATTAAAGTAACTGTTTCATTAGCAATAGCATAAAAAGGCGTATTATTGCTAACAAAAGCTTTTTTCATAATTAGGCATTATGAAGAAACCATTTCCCGTCTAATCATAGATAAAATCACAGGTAAAATTATCGATGATATTTATGAGAAATTTAGTTACGATTTGTTGAACAGGTTCTAAAGTTAACGTGAATATTCACAACGAAAAATATTCACATACATATATATTTCATGATGACAAGAATTCAAAAATCATATATCAAACGGTATCGATGAATGTCAGACGTCATGTGTCACTTTGGGATTCCCAAATAACATAGAATAACCAACTACTGGAACAACTCATATGACAAATTTTATTTAAAGTTCAGGCACACGTTTTGATGAATGCACATGAACTTTAGAAGATGACAAACCGCAAGGACTGCCATTAGATAACTGGCTTCCCTTACTTAATAGTGAAGCGTCTTCTAGCAAACATGCTATATTGTGACGCAGTCAAGTATTTCTAAATAACGACTAAAAGATAATGGTTCAAATGGTTGTGGACGGAATGGAAGAAGCTTTCGCTTAACAGGCTGCCGTGTCAAGTAGCAGTGGATCATCGATACCTCCAGGCAGAAACTTAGGTATATTAACGATATTAGGAAAAAAAGTGTACTACATTACGAAAATCTGAAAACAGCCAATCATCTCTCCAGATTAATAATTAATTTTGAACTTATCAAACTAAATATTGAATTAAATTCACTTGGCTTTGTTTACTTGTACCTTACCGTTGTTATTTAGGACTGCAATTGACCAGTATCTTGTCGGCATATGTGCATTCTATCAGGTTTGCCTCGATATTTCTTCAAGTCCTGTATCTCGGATGCAGATGCATCCAACCGATGGGTCCCGAATAGGACGAAACGCGTATCCTGGACCTCACTACCAGCTACTAACCGTCTTTGCTTATGAATATTGACTTTGCTCAAAAGCCGGAACATTCAAAGACGACGCTACTTTCAAATAAAGTATGGTTTGTGTAGTGGGTTAAACTGTTCGTCAGTGTTTCGATTACAAGATCCTCTTAGTCTGAAGCTTGTATCAAAGCTGAATTTCGTGTTTTTTCTTACTAGATGTAGGTTTTTGTTGTATGCGCTTGCTGGGTGGTCCAGTTACGTTTTCTCTTTTCCACCCCTCCCCGCTCACACTATTCTGCATACTCCCCTGGTAGATAGAACACCTCCTGACTAGACGTGAACTGTCACGCGTTCCGTAGGCATCCTTGTGCGTAGTATACTGAATAAGGCCTTGTTGATGAAGCTGGTGACGAAAAGTAATATAAGCATCTAATAAACACTAACGTGTTTATCAGAAATACTGCGCAACTGGTATTCTCCAAGTTACATGTTTGTTTAGAAAAGTCTTGAGCTAATCTGGACAACCCAGTGGTAAACGCTCAAATTCATGGCGCGTCTGTCAGAAACAAATGTAATGTAGCGATGACCCTAAAACCTAAACAATGCGTTCTGATCCCAATCTTGAGTCATTAACTGTACATCTCAAACCGAAATACCAAGCCTAAATCTTAATAATATAATGAACTCTTCATTCGTATCTTTCGCTTCCTGACCGGCTGAGTGTTTCAGGATCATTCACGGGTTCTCTCAAGTTCATTCTCATAATCTATGTTTGTTGAGGTTTAACATTCCAAAGCACTTCAACTTTTTCATCCCACCTCAGTGTTCAGAAGTCTCTTATCTCGCATCGTAAATTTTTAGTAATCCATCAAATATTGACAAATAATCCTCATAGCTCACTTTTATTTGTTTTCATTTATTTATTTAATCACATATATATTGGTACAAAGGGCACCGGATACAAATGCGCCACACAAAATAATGAGAATGGGAGGAGAAGGAAGATGTGTATATATAAAAGAAGGGAAAAAAAGAAAAAGAAGAGTAATTATGGGGGGAACTGAAATGTACAACCAGAAGAGCTCTCTCAGTTAGGAAAGTTATAGCCACTCTTTATGAAGAAAGTAAAAGAAAATTACAGCAGGCACGCCACTGGCTTCTATCCTGAGTCATATCTGATAACGTCTCTAGCCACTGTGTTGAACCATCTCTCGTACCCCAGCCAGGGAGTCGTGAAGGACCAACAGAAGCTAGCCCTTTGCAGCTTTCTTTCATACCACGACACCATGTCATACACTGACCTCCTCTCCGCTTTTTCCAACCAGTCCCAGAGTCAGCAAATAATGCACGACGTGGAAGTCTCTGGGACGACTTTCGTAAAACATGTCTAATCCACCGAAGTCGGTGTTTTAAGATGGTGACACCAATTGAATTATCGTCTCTGCGCCCGAACACACGATGCCGAACCTCTGCATTACTAACATGGTGTTGCCACCGGATGTCAGCAATCCTTCGGAGACAACGATGATCGAACACAGAGAGTCGTCTGACATCCTCAACTCGGAGAGGCCAGGTTTCACAAGCGTAGAGCAAAACTGCTCTCACCGACGCGTATGACGGTGTTCTAACATTTGGCGGACGGTGAAGATATGATCAATGCATCCTCGACCAGAACGAAAACCAGCCTGCTCCTCGCGAGTCAATCGTTCTCGGGTTTTAAACAACCTACGAAGAATGATAGAAGCCAACAGTTTGGACGCAATCGAAAATAGACTTATCCACCGATAGTTATTGCAGGAACAACGTGAACCCTTTTTAAAGAGAGGGACGACTATCGACTCATTCCATGATGTTGGAACGCTTTCTTGCTCCCAAACCTTTGCAAACAAGATAGTCAATTCCTTAGCCAGAAAGGCACCACCATCTTTAAAAATAGCCGGAGGTAAGTCATCTGGGCCCGGTGATTGGTAGCGTTTCATGAGTTAGAGTTCCTTGCGGACTTCCACCTCGTTTGGTGGATCAGTTGTGACCGGCCATGGGGGGCAGGCAATCTGGTCGATGTTGCCGGAGCAGCAGGCCAGTTGAACTGCCCTTCAAAAAATTCTGCCCATCGTCCAAGACGTCGAGAGATGTTAGTGATTGGCATCCCGTCATCCTCATAGATTGTTTCACTTACACCAGACTTCTTGCTGCCAGTGGCTCGGATGAGTTGGAATCATAGCTCACTTAGGCGAGACGAACCAATCAGGCAAAAGTAACAGGTCTTACATTTGGCGTGAAATTTATTCATCCATTTGGCAAAATTCCGTTTTGGCATTTTATCTGGTGTCAGTTCGTGATGCAAACTCTAGGTGTAGTTCATAACTCTAACTCAACTGTAAATCATAACTATAATTCCTCACACAGGTTTATGATCTTTATTTAGTCCTAGTTATTAGATGGACACTCAAGGCCAGTTTAGGGTCACCTAAAGGTCGTCCGTAAATTATAGTCTCACCCCTCCTGTGCTGGTCGCCTCAATACTATGATTAAGTCAAGTATTTTAAGTAGAGTTGGATGTTAATATACCAAGAACCTTATTTAGTTGTCATTGGTGGAGCCATATAGTGCGTAAATTTTGAGATCAGCTGTATGAAAACTTCGAGGCTGTACTACGTTCTCATTTGTATTTAGCTGCACTGTATGACCATCGTTTGAGGGACAATTCGTTGTCTGAATACAGTGCAACTACGGTATTGTCGACTACTGTCCCTTCTTCCTATCTAAAATTGGTCACCTAGGATACCTTTTGAAGTTCGGAAAAATGATTAAGCACTTGTGTCTGGAAGTTTGTTTTAAAAAATCCGTAAACTGGTATAATTTATCCAGGACAACGTCAGCATCGGTTGGTTGCTATGTTAAATACCAATACGGATTAATATGAGTTGTATGACTTCCGTTTCTTACTGCATGTAGCTTATTATTTATTTAAACACATAAATATTGGTACAAGGAAGCACCAGATACATATGCGCCTCACAAATCTCATTCGATTTGTGTGAGGGCTGTGATACTGTCCAGGTGCCCAGACCGAAGCAAGTGGTTTTCTTAGGGGCCCACACCCGAAGACTTTGACCGAAAGATCTGATCCACAAGGCAGTGGAGCATCGCAAGGAGATGCAGTCCTATGGTAGCCGGTGATCAACGATTGATTCGTACGCCATTTGTTCCCTCAGGATACTGGAGCCCATGTGCACCATTGGTTTGGAATCAAGGTTTCTCAACTCCCCTAGGTGGACTTTCGTTGTCCACCAACCCGGCTAAAGCGCCGGACATTCGCTTTTCGTCCTCTTAATTTCGTAAACAACACCCTTGGTACGAGAAGGCAGGAAGTAGGACTTCCCTGACAGTGGCTATATATTCGCTGGCCATGTGAGAGCGTTTAGAGAGGGAGAGCGGACTCTCCCCACTCTCGGCCGTACCAGGGCATTTGGGGGCTAAGATTCGACTTGTTCATCTAAGGTACCATTCGCTATGTACACAAATGTGTCTTGACTCAAAAGTTTTAAATACAAAAGGAGCGTAGATCGATAGTTTTCATTATAAAAATCGAAGGTCGTACTTCATCTACAATACACATTTTAAAGAGAGCAAGAAAGAAGTTGAATCAAATAAAAATAGAAGATCTGTCGCTTGGCTTTAAATTTCATATCCCCAAAATACATGCCGATTCCGCACCAATCTTCGTTCTTGCGCTCTTTAAGATAAAGGGAAATATGTGTATGAAATTTCTCAAAATACACACTTTATTTGTTTAAAAACAAACATTGGTACAAGGAAGCACCGAACATAAGGTGTTAGAAAAGTCACAGACTTATGTGTTTTAGAAAATAAAGTGCAGTGTTGCTTTATCAGAACGATAACAGAATCGTCCTTCATCGATAATCAGAAATTACAGGAATGTGTTTCTCAAACAAACTCCGCGTATGGCTCTTCTAGGGCTACTGCCAAAGATGACGGTACTCCAGCTGGATTTAAATCGACAAGGACTTTAAGGCTTCTCTGAGTGTTTTATATCATTGCTCTCAATCACTTTATTGTTGCATAAACTAAAACATACTTCTTTGATGTACTGATTTTTATTTTGTGATTGATTTTGACTTCACTTCCTGTGAGTACTGCGCGATTAGGTGAACAAATATTTCAATTAATTATCAAACATAATCGATATTTTAACAATCTATCACATCTCTATCACCACTGTTATAAACTACCCGTCTATAATTTGATCAACAAATGTTTAGGGTTTGTTCAGTTAATGAATACAATTCTTCGATCGATTGATAATATGTATTGATACCATATAACCGAATAGTGACTGCTTTCGAGAAATTAGTATTAAAAAACAAAACAGTTGCCCAATAGAGTAGGCTTTATTTATTCAAACAAATGGAGTACTTATATATACAATATTAACATAAGAGTAAACATGATTGTGTTGTAAAGCAATGACCAATGTCAGTCTTATAATTCTCTCGCTCTCCAGAGAATTAAGACCTGACTGTTAGGCTTAGTTCCTGCCCCGATTATTGACTTTTACCTCCTAAAACGTGATTAAAGATAGATATCATGTGCGTGCTAATCGTTAAGTTACCTTATATCTAAACTGTTTTTGGTGTTTTGCAATGAGGTCGAATTACTAGCTTTGTTTGAGAACCGATTTTCTGGTACTTAATCCCACTGACTGTGAGATACTCTCAGCTGTTCGACTTCTGGGTATTTTCTTGTGTCGATTGTTTATGGTAATAAAATCGTTTTTATTCGATATTCCAAATTTGTGACAGTAAAATCTTCCTCAAAAATATCGTCTATTTGATCTGAAGTTAGCTTTTAAATTGAACAGTTTCCACGAATTTGTCATTTTCTTTCATTCAGTTTCCAGTACTTTGTGGGATATGCGAATGGTTGTTTTACAGTAACAAATAAAAAAACTATTGATGACTGAGAGCTGTATAGCCCGGGTACGTGAATTCAATCGTGTTATTTGGGGGGGATCTGATGTGAAAACAGATTTGTTCAAACGTTGGTGTCAAGGTGAATAGCTTTCGTTACTGTAACTTTGCCTAGGATTTTCATTTAGCCCTGTTGAGTTTAGTGCTTTGGTACAATCAACAGGTGGTCCATGTGCTATTATAGCTACTACTCAAGCCACAATTATGTACGAGGTTTTGTTCATTCGCAAGCAGAATCTAGCTGATATTACAGGTACATTTTTGTTATGAAATGGGCACTAAAAATTAGATGTCGACAATATGGAAATTCTACTTAGCGCACTGTTAAGAATAATTCTATTGGTTTCGAGTGATCGCCAAAGTCAGTTTTGCTGGGTTTACTGGTGCGAAGATGAAGAACCAGCGAGTTCTGAGTCCTCCATTCAAAGTTTGTAATAAGAGTGATTTCGGGAATTTTATTTTAGATGAAAAATGTGCTACCAGTGATTTCAGTGCTGCCAACAAGTCATTGGGTTCTAATATAAACCAGCTTGGAGAATGCGGTTTCCAGAAGTTTATTAATGGTTTAAGGTAAGATGCACTTGTTTTCTAAAATGTGGATTTCTCCATTTTACTTTCTACTCAAAGTTATTGTTATCGAATTGGAATAAGAAAGCAGCTCTAGAAAGCTAAGATGGTGAAAAACCTTATTAGAACAGCATATTTAAGAGAATAATATTGTTTTTAAATAGATCTTCATCATGCTTTACTCTGATGCACAGTAATATATGGATTTATAGAAATTGTTAAACTATTCAATCCAAGTTATGGACCAATTACGACAGTAAAAATGGATTACATAGCTAATCATAATGAACAAAAGTACGAAGTAATCGTAAGGTGATAGGTAATGTAGCTGAAAATGTGCGTATTGATCAAGAATCGTCAATAAGCCTCGTAGCACTGTTCAGTGAACTTTGTTCTCATTCTAGTTTTCGTTGCATCGTAAAGTCTGGTGTATGATAAAAGGTCTGAAAGTGATTTCCTATTTATCGAACTACTGACTATTATGCTCCATCTTTTTTAATACTTTATCCATAGTAAGAAGCATTTGTCAATGCAAACTTATAGGTTAGTATGATTTCCGAGCGTACTTCCATGAAAATGTATTAATACATTTTGTGCGTCTGCACATAGCCATTTCTTCAGAGCGACTGCTATCTTTGTTATTCGGACCCTCTAAATTTGTCATTTTCTCTTATGCAGTAGTCACTGTTATCATAGTGTTCTTAATCTTCACTTAAACGTTGATGTAGTCATCAGGCAGTTTGTGTCGGCATATTTCGGCAGCCTTCGGTGGGTTTCATTATTTAATTTTATTGGCGCGATCCTAAAGTTTTTCCAAACTCATGTCTTGCTGGATTGTTATGTTCTTCTTCAACAGTTTATGATAAAAGGATGTTACTATCATATCGTTCTATCATCATATCGTACTATCATATCGTTTGTCCTCTTAGTGAACCATCAGATTGATATTTTAGGGGTTATTGTAAACAAAAGAAAACAGAATATGAAATAAGAAAAAAACACAAAGTATGGATGTAGAATACTTTTCACTCAGTTGTCGTCATCTTTTACAATTATAAATCCAAATTGACTTGGATATTTTTGTAAGAAAAACACTAAAAGTGAATTTGTGTTATTTGTTGTGGTTAGTATTGATTTGCGCTACAGTAGTCGACTCAAAAGCTTATCTGCTTAAGGTGCGTTTGTAACTCCGTTTTATATTGGCTTTAGTCGAATAGCTATCACATCGATATTCTTATAACCTCAAGTCCAGGTATATCTTATTAAGCAAATTTTTTTGGTTGTTGTATTTTAATCTATGCTTGTAATTACAAGTAAAGTTTTTTTTCAACCAGATGCTTCGAAGCCGAAACTGTCGAAGAACTCCGTGCAGTTGCTTTCTCGTTACTTCCTCAAATAAAATCAAAGTATGGAGTATTATGCTTCCTTTATTCTGTTTTGTTCACACATGGACTTCAGTCACTTATAAATGAAATGAATGGTGAGATGGATGCATTGATTGATCCGATCCATGGACATGCTAGTCAGTGTCTGATTAATTTATTAATTACCGGGGAGAGTACGCCATATTTATTTGATGGTGAAAGAGATCTCGGAGGATTTAGTAAGTGTATTTATGTTTGACTGTTAAACTGGTATTAAAAGACATCAATTAATATTTTATCTAATTAAGTGCAATTATTAATTGGAGCATATTCAGGTAGACAGATATCACCAACTCGACACAAATGCACGTTGGCCCAATTTCCCATACTAGATTAGAGTGACGAGATATAAACATCAGAAAGATCGAAATAATGTAGTAGGAATGATAAAAAGAAAGACTAGACCTTGGCAATATGATTGGGAAAGATGGAGTTGAAAGTTATGTATGATGGGATAGTGAAATTCAAGGTCAAGTGGAGGATGAATGTTGGATTCATGTGCACCGTTGTGAGTGATTCTGGGGTATGTCACCCAAAGTCTCCAGCCGCTAATCTTAATTATCGCACACCCCAACCAAGTCATCTGCATCTATCAATATGGGCGCTTATAGCTTTCTTCTAAACTACTGCTGTACTAACGAACATCACTTGTCGAGATAGGTAGGTAGTTAGAGATGCATAACACATACCCTGGTCATATCAGTCGATTTATTATTTTTTTTATTTAAACAAATACATATTAGTACAAAAGGGCACCAGATACACATGCGCCACACTATTTATTTGTGTGTGGGTTGTGATACTGCCCGGGTGTCCAGACCGAAGCAGGTGGTTTTCTTAGGGGGCCATACCCGGAGCCTTTGACCTAAAGGTCTGATCAACAAGGCAGTGGAGCATCGTAAGGAGATGCAGTCCCATGGTAGCCGGTGACCGACGATTGATTTATACGCCATTTGTTCCTTCAGGATACTGGAGCCCATGTGCACCATTGGTTTGGAATCAGGGTTTCTCAACTCCCCTAGGTGGACCCTCCGTGTCCACCATCAGTCGATGGAGATTTACAACCGATTTGGCACGTATGCATACCTCAAAGTTGCTCATCTGGTCGTTCCACCGAACGCGAGGAATGCCTTGTAGACACCTATGATCAATAATCTTCAGTCTACGTATGTCTTCTACTTCCATATACAATGTTTTTCGGTCATAAAGTAGAACGGAGCCTACTTCTGTGCCCTAATTTACTTAGGATCTATATTAAATGGAATATGCATAGTTACTTTTCATACCACAGGAGTGTGTCGTAAACCAACCACCTTCAATAAAATGAAATACTGTTTCTCAAACTTTTTCAAACGATCTAATCAGTTCCCTTGAAGTGAGCAGAGTGTAGGTCACCTGAGGATATTAACTCATGATGCTTCAGAAGTTGTGATTGCTTGTCGACCTCCCTTTGTTAAGTGGATTGGGTGCCATAGGCCAGGGGAGCCTGGCTTACGTTGTCGGTGGGTAACACTAATTGTACTGTCCCTCAAAGTACCTTGCCCAATGTTTAAGACGCCTTTGAGGATTACTGATTCTTATGGAATCGACTTTACAAATTTTATTAATACAATAATTCTTGGTACCATGAGTTGTAGCAAATCCCAGTAGGTACCAAATATAGCTACTGCTACAAACTCGTTAACAAGCCTTGATCACCAGGTCTCTATTATATCCCGATGAGAATACTAAATGATAACTGTTGGAATGTTATTCTGGACATATATTTTTATTGTATAGTTGTTAAGTAGCTAAACTATGCATATTCATGTTCCTCTTATTACAAGCTTTACTTTGACCTATGAACTATTATTATACGATTTACCATTTTTGAGATGTGCCTAGTCTATCAATTACTATCTCCCACATTCACAGCCACATTTGACTAAATCTTGTACAAATGTTATTTCCTATTTTGTGGTACGATGTGGCCTGTTTGGTTTGCATGTAAACCAGGTGTGTTTGAAATACATGATTCATATCGCAGAGGCTGAGATTGGTGTTCTGGACTTAACAGGCAGAGCTAGGCAGGTAACAGAACCGTTAAAGACTCTAGACTGCTCGTACGGGTTTTATGTGTCATTGATCCGGTCGATAATTAACTGTTCTCTAATTGGCGGTTTCATTACATCATATATTGTTAGGGGCACAAGGCCACAAGTTATAACAGTTTATTTTTTCTTTACGCCACAAGCTTTGTGAAGATCTGAGTTGAGAATTTGCGTATAATATCACACTTGCGATTAACGAAAGTAGACCAGCCTATCTCGACACATTTTTTAAGGGAGTTGGAGAGGTTCAATGTTTAAAAGTGTGACGTTTCGCGGGTTGGCAGTCAACTTCCTTACCATTGTTAATCTACACTTCAATGGACTCCTCATGCTGGTATGAGTTGTTCCTTTAATTCACCTGTTTAAAACCTCTTCCGAAAATTTCTACTGTGGTGTAAAACCACTCAGTAGCTGAGTCATGTTGCTAAATGTACTTGAGTACCATGTTTAAAATTTCTATCGATGTAAATCTGATGATCTCTTAAGTTTAACATCAATTACTTCATGTACTTCATATAAAAACTAGATAATTCATAGATAAACCAGGGCTATTCATTTTTAGAAGACGTATATTTTCATACCTTAATATACTATAGTATATCAATGAAACCTGTTTTAGCACGTTCGAATCAACTTCAGAGAGGTCTGTCATTAATTTTCATCGTTTTTAATATTCACCAGTTTATATTCAAGCTTTATACACGACCTGTACTTTCTATAACGTTACTGGACGCTTGATGCAAGCGAGTTCTGTTTTACTCATTACAGTCAAGAGCATCTTGACCAACTCAATTATATGCATCATAGATTTTCGCCTAAAGTAATAATATCAGTGAGTGTATTTCCCCTTGAATTAAGTGATGCAATGAGCATTTACTTAGGCAAGAATTTGCGAAAGATAATTCATTTTTAGCACCTGGATTGTTCAAACCACCCAAATTTATCACTTACCAAAATTGATTAACATGAACATACCTAAAATGAAGACATTTTCCACTCAACAATTGAGCTGGGTTTCGAACATATCCTAGTTACTTGGATTTAGAAGCTTAGTACACAGAATTATATGTGGCTAATGGACTAAAAGTCTACAAATTACCTGGCATATTTTTTTACAGTCGTACAATGTGAGTGAATAAGTCTGGTTGACACTATGTGTAATGCAAATTTACATCAATCTACCTTATTCAAAGTGTATTTTTATATAGTTTAATCCATGAGTCAATTGAAATGAAATGAAAGTGTGGCGCATATATATCTGGTGCCCTCTTGTACCAATATTTATGTGTTTAAATAAATAAAATTCAAAGTGTATGAATGGTTCATAGGCTTTATGAAAGCCCACACTCAGAAGGTGCAGCATAACAAATGTACCCAGATTTCTTACAAAATATTCGATTATTCTTGATAACGTTATGACTTGCTAGTATGATTCTGTTGTGCTAATCCATCAAATGTCCATATAATCAGCTATTAGATTGTCTCACGTGCTTAGTGGCTTATCTCTGAAATTTATGTAGTCAATGTGAGTATATAGGTATCATTACCAAAGTTAAACCTAATAATTTCAAATAAATTGTGCATTGGGTAGACTGCTAATAATAAAAATGGTGACATATATTCGTAATGTCTCAAGGAGTAGAGAATCAAATTTCCTAATCTTTCGTAACTCAATGTAGTTCGCTTCTTCAGAGGATAAATAGACAAATTAAACTGACCCAAGTTTAAATAGTACAAAAGGATGGGGAGAAAATACTTACCAAAAAAGTTTGTTCTCACCTCAAACCTACCCTGGTAATAGCTTACTATTCAGAGTGATGGGGTTGCAAGTTGTTTTCACATTATTTTCTGTATTATCCTTGTCTCCTCTTACCCTCCATTTCTAGTCTAGTTGACATTTTATTTTTATATATAAATGTTCTTAACAAGTATATGTGTGATCAGATTGTTCGAAATGTATTGCGCTAATATATCACATAGTTCTGATAATCTTCGTCTTCTTATTACATTATCGAAATTTATCAAATAGGCTAATTGCTTCAAATTACCAATCAATCAAAAAACAGATTTGATTAAGTCAATGTTTTATCACTCTGTTCATGGTGATTTTTTTGTGAAACGTGGTCGTATCTTTGTATGTTAATGGTTTTGAACAAAGTTTTATTCGTAATGTCCGAAATTCAAGCTGGATTTGTTTGAAAAAATAATGTACGTTGTATATAGGTTCAGATGTGTTGGCTTGATTTTAAATTAAATAAATTGTGTGTCAATTATCGGTTTAATGTAGAAATGTTGTGTTGCGTGTAAAATATCTACACACACTTCCCATTTCTTAAATTTCTTGATCAACGAACATCAGTTGTACTTTTACATGATCAACATCAATAACTTTCAGGCATCAAATTTGTGTACATACAATATAGTCTCTAAAGCATGTTCATGGAATATTTCATTATTTGTTTCGTTTGCTTCTCCGTAAAGCATTGAAAGGTATATCCAGGCAACCGAAAACCGGTTTCTTGACTTTTGTTGAAGCAATGAGATATTGTGAAGTGGGATGGTTCTTGAAAAATCCATATTACCCAGTTTGGATTTTGGGATCTGAGACACACTTGACCGTTTTAGCGTCGCCAGATATGTCGTTGGTGTCAAAGAATGTAAAGTCAGAAACTAACTCCATATCAGGTATACGTCAAGCTGAAATTGAGTTTAATTATCTGAGCCCAGATCAAGACACTGGTGGTTTCATCAGTTCGTCAGATTTCGAAAAATTACTGACTAAATTACGTCTGTATACAGGATCCCAACAGTAAGTAAATTTTCTAAAGCCATTGTCGAATTGTTTTTCCACCAACCTTCACCAATCATAGTTATTTCGTTATTATAAATTTTCTATTTTCCGGTCTTTGAATAAACAAATAAACATTGATTTTACTGACGTTTCGCTGTTGTAACCAAATGTTTATTTATTTATTTATTTAAACACATAAATATTGGCACAAGGAAGCACCAGACATATATGCGCTGCACAAATCTCACTTGATTTGTGTGAGGGTTGTGATGCTGCCCGGGTGCCCAGACCAAAGCAGGTGGTTTTTTAGGGGGCCACACCCGGAGCTTCTGACCTAAAGGTCTGATCAACAAGGCAGTGGAGCATCGTAAGGAGATGCAGTCCTATGGTAGCCGGTGATCAACGATTGATTCATACGTCATTTGTTCCTTCAGGTTACTGGAGCCCATGTGCACCATTGGTTTGGAATCAGGGTTTCTGAACTGCCCTAGGTAGACTCACTGTGTCCACCGACCTGGTTAAAATGCCGGACATTCGCTTTTCGTCCTCTCAATTTCGTAAACAACACCCCTCCACGAGAAGGACTTAACTGGCATAGGCTGTGTACATGTGGCTGTGTGAGAACATTTCGAGAGAGAAGGCGGGCCCTCCCCATTTTCGGCAGTACCAGGGCATTCGGGGAAATTGTAACTGAATAGCATAACGTCAGTAACAATTTTTTTCACTGATTGTAAAGCAAAAATTCCTGATAGTAATGAATATCATTGACACGATGCATAATTATTCCACCCATAAATGTAAATACAACTCGGATAGCAATAGACGAACCACACATATCTGTATGCAAAATGACAATAACTGAAAAGCCATCAAAAATAGATAAACACAAACATATGTAATTAAGAGGACTTCCATTTTCTTTCTATGTGGAAGTTCCCAGGTGATACTTCAGGAAAGAAACCAATATCTACTTCAGATGAATGTAAGCTCATCTTTCAACACATTTTTAGTACAATACTTTGTCAGCTTTCAATGCATTTTCACTATAATTAGTGTTTAATGACAATTACCTCAGTTCATAAATCATATTTATTGTGATCAACAGATAATTGACTAACTGAAATGAATTCTTAAATTCTACTGAGGTCATTATCAAAGTAGGTTTCATCATGAATTTTGACTTCTTACTCTAGTTAGTGAACTAGGAAAGAAGAAGATAGCAGTAGTCTCACTCTCTGTATTGAAGTTGCAAAGTAGCAGCTTAGCACACCAACATACCATATTCTCAACTCATAACTACGAAATTTAATTGGTGTGGGTAGCATAAATGGCAAAGCTCTACCTTACCTTTGATGACTGCATCGCCAAGCGGCAATATATTGTAGTGTATTATATTCAAGCTTTTCATACAAAAGCTAATATCCATATCACCGAATGGCATTCAAATCTACACAAATATTCAACCTCATGAGAATTATGTTAGTCTTAATTCTCATAAATGTAATAACTTGTGTTAAGAGTTCGTAATAACCTCGATAAGATTAATAGATTACGGTTAAAAAGTTACTTCTCTCGAATCCAGAGTAAATAAATAGCTTAATATCGGATATCATATCAAGCTCCTGCTGGGCTTTATTATATATTAGTAAATAACTAATTTTATAAAGCTTGGAAATGTTTAGTAGAGAATCTTCACATACTTAACGTGAACATGTGTGTTATTATGATTAACTTTCAGGCTTTTTCCTGATGGTTTCCAATAACACGAAGGTAAGATATGGTAGAAATAAGTATCGGTTAAAATTACTGTACTCTCACTCAAACTTCATGACAGGATTATTATTCGTATCATGTTCAACGGGTCCTTATCATTTTTTCTTACAGAGTAAATGATTTAGTTACAAAGCTAGATCCTGAAGGTTTGGGAATAATTTTGAAGAAAGACTTCCTACAGTTCTTTTTTCCCGAAGAAATGGCAAAGCACACCGCTGAAGTTATTAGCTTTCAGTTAATTCATTATAATGGTCTGGAACACTCTAATACTGATGGTCGGGTGAGTTATTTCAATTATTCCTTACGAAATCTTTTGAGCAATCGATATAAGGCTTACAAACATTTGAAAAATAAACAAGCAATCAACCTCGCTAACCAAGTACAGTTATGTGTTGCATTTTTTATACGAGTGTTGTTAATTTCACTCACATATCCAGGTCCTAAACGATGAAGTTGGTTTGGACCTGAAACTTAATATGTTCCAGTAACTCAGTAAAAAATATGATTTCTGATTGTGTTCAGTTAAAAAATAAGTCCCAGAAATTTCTATAGCGTGAAATGCTTATGTCGATTCCTTACATTCCTACTGTTCAAATTTTTATGAACCCATCGCTCATCGTAAAAGTTACTACATAACATTTAGTTACAACGATCGTTTATTTCATATTATTGGAAGCAACTATCGCTGAAGTGCTTATTACGCTTTTTGTGTAAACAGGTTCGATACAGTACTGGTGAGGCCCGCTTAATAGATCCTACAGAAGAGCTTGTCGAGACCCAGCCTATTGATCAAAGTCCTATACAGCAGTGCTTGGCAACAAAATGGCCTACAATACGAATCAAATGGAACGTAAACAGAAGTCCGTCACTTAACTAATGTATTTGTAATGTATTACAGTAGCAACTCATCATTATTACCCAAACGCTTTCAATTCTAAATTTGTACAGTTTATCACTTTTTAATCAAAATGGGGTGTTTTTATGTACGTTGCCATGTTTTCGTATGTTTAATCGCCTTGTTATATTATTTAAAAGCTCTATGCATAAGCTTGAAGTTTCTGTTTCTGGGCTAGGAACAATTACTGCTTCACTGTCGCTAGCACGAACTGAATGTATATCGATAAGTATACGAGTTAGAATGGGGAAATTTGCCATTCCAGTCAGCCTTCTACCTCAAAACTTCCCACTTATCGCTCTTCTGAATAATGATTTATGGTACCCAAATGATGGATATACTTTCTGACTCATATATTCTATGATGTTGCATATACTTACTTACTCCTGTTACCCCTCATGGAGGAGCATAGGACGCCCACCAGCATTTTCCATCGAACTCTTCCTGGGAAAATCTTTCCAGTTGCTAGTTATCCTTTTCATGTCTAATTTCAATTCTCGGTGCAGGGTATTCCAGGGTTTCACTCTTTTCCGTTTCCTTTCAGGGTTATAAATTAGCACTTACTTCGTGATGACTTCCTTAATGCATGTTCTATACACTTCCAACGTCTATTCCTAATCTCCTCTTCAGCTAGAAGCTAGTTTGTTCTCTCTCACAGTGGGTTGTTGCTGATCGTACCTGCCTGACCGATGTTGAGAATATTACGTAGACAGTTGTTGATAAATACCTGTACCTTCTTGATAATGGTTATAGTTCTCTAAGTTTCAGCTCCGTACACGTTGAAGACACTGGTTCTCGTCCGATCCCACTTACAAAAAAGAATTCCACCTTAAACGTACGCCAAGTAGGTATTTATTCACTCACATATGCACAATTTACAGCTATTCTGTCGTGAAAATTCACTTGTTGTTTGCTTGTATCTTCTCATTGTTATTTAGGACTGCAATTGACGAGTATCTTGTCGGCATATGTGCATCCTACGCGGATTGCTTCGATATTGCCTAAAGTCACAAGCTTTATAAGCAAAGATGGATGGCGGCTAGCAATGGAATTCATGACGCGCTTTTCGTCTTATTTGGGACTCATCATCTGGATGTACCTGCATCTCAGAGTTGATGTTTACTCAAAGACTGTCGTATGTCCCAAAAAGTATCAGTTAATTTAAATTTTATTTTAACTATAACGCAGGAAAGCTCCGTCCTATACAGAATAGTGAAACAACTGCAAGTAGACAAGACTATACGTTCATGATTTCTCAACATGATTCTAACGGCTTTATGAGTTGCCGACTAAAGTTTCAGAAATATTACTGGTTGCGTAAATGGACACTTACGCTTACTGTGTTTTCGTTGATAACTCTAACGATGTTATACCTTATTGATCAATGTAATCAACCATGGCATTTACATGGGGCTTAAAAGAAACTTTATATGGTCTTGGGCTCCCAAATGCCCTGGTACGACCGAGAGTTAGGAGGGTCCGCTCTCCCACTCGAAATGCTCTCATATGGCCACATGTTAACAGCCTATGCCAGTTAAGTCCTTCTCGTGGAGGGGTGTTGTTTACGAAATTGAGAGGACGAAAAGCGAATGTCCGGCATTTTAACCAGGTCGGTGGACACAGTGAGTCTACCTAGGGCAGTTCAGAAACCCTGATTCCAAACCAATGGTGCACATGGGCTCCAGTAACCTGAAGGAACAAATGACGTATGAATCAATCGTTGATCACCGGCTACCATAGGACTGCATCTCCTTACGATGCTCCACTGCCTTGTTGATCAGACCTTTAGGTCAGAAGCTCCGGGTGTGGCCCCCTAAAAAAACCACCTGCTTTGGTCTGGGCACCCGGGCAGCATCACAACCCTCACACAAATCAAGTGGGATTTGTGCAGCGCATATATGTCTGGTGCTTCCTTGTGCCAATATTTACGTGTTTAACCAAAAAATGAATAAATAAAATATAGTTATGGTGTTTTTCTTCATGAAAAATATGCATTTAAAAGACAGGAAACCGCCCACAAATGCTCCAGTCCATTTATACCACACGTTTTTTTCCAACGAATACAGCTTGTGGACCATAATCAACGCAAGTTCGGCATAGAGTCTATTTGGCAAAGCGTTTGTTGTGTGGCTATAATTACTAGTAGACCACGCCAGGATACTGCTGAGTCGCCACCTATCACGATCCACAGGGTCACTCATTTAATATTGTAGTTGGTTCGGATTGTGATGCGTTTTATCTTATCGAGTTTGGGAGTTAATCCATCAAGTTTGAAGAATTACGTGTGAGAGGTCCATTTACGTTAGTATCTTCCAATCCGACACAGTCACTGTCTAAGCGTTGTTTCCAAGCTGCAGACCACTAATGCAGATGATCTAAATGGAAGGTCAGTCAACTCGGGTTGAACTGAAATCGTATTACCTCTTAGCCTATCTTCAAGTTACACTAGGGGATTTGTACTTAGTCTGAGCTATCCTATCATGACAACCAGGCAAACCGGCTTCTTTGTAGACTGATTAGAATACATGATCTTATTGTCAAGTCACATGTATTTATCAGAACAGATTAAGGGAGTACAAAGTAGAACCACTAGTCTATGGTGTGCGAGTGACTAATCAGCGTCGTTATTCTCGATGTTGAGTATGTCCAGCAAACCGTTCAACCTGGAACCTACCGACATACTGAGAAGGAATCCTTCAAATTATCCGCTCATCAGTGTGGATTTCAGTCGTAAATATCTTGAAAAGAACAAGGGAGAAACGATTGAAAGTTTTCTCAAAATAGAACGCCTATTAAATAATATACGGAACTGCCTAATCAATCGTTTTTAGTGTGAAAAATGGCTGTATATAATTTTTATGAAATCAGATTTCTTGCTAGGCTAATCAGCTGATAGAATCAATCCTGGGGTACTAGCCTGCATAGGCTAAAGAGTTTATCATTGTTCTCAGATGAAGGATAATATCTAATGACTAAGTCTCTTTTTAGATATATGTAATTAGTGGAGTACTGCAGCATTCATTAGCAGGTCCATCATTGTTTAAAGCAATTAGTCCCTTTGATAAATTTCGATAATGTAATAAGAAGACGAAGATTATCAGAACTATGTGATATATTAGCGCAATACATTTCGAACAATCTGATCACACCTATACTTGTTAAAAACATTTATATATAAAAATAAAATGTCAACTAGACTGGAAATAAGGGTAAGAATAGACAAGGATAATAATGATAAAATAATGTGAAAACAATTTGACACCTAATCTTTCATGCGAAGAGGAGAAGAATGATCAACTCCCCTTCCTAGATGTACTTCTAAGCAGATGAGAAGATGGCTCAATAAAACGATCCATTCTTCGAAAACCGACGTGGACGGGTCAATATCTTAGTTACTACAGTTATTGCCCTGTGCAATACAAAAGTGGTTCGGTAAAGTGCCTTTTTAACAGGCCTCGTCGTATTTGCACAAACGACGCTTTTGATGACGATGTTTAGTTGTTAACCAAGACATTAGTCGGGAATGGTTATCCACCTAAATTTATCAATAGATGGAAAGTTCAGGGCACAGCGAGACCTATTGTAGCCTTGGTAGAGAAAAAGCCTGTCTACATCACCTTACCATTTAGAGGTGATTCAAATAGCCTTTCAATGAAACAAAGGCTTAAATCTGTCATCAAAAAAACGTATTGTGCAGCAAAGGTCACAATCAAAGAAAGAACGAGGTCCATGCTTCATCCAAAACCTAGACGACATGAAAACGATTGTGTCACATCCCACTGCATTTACCATCATTGTTTGTTTTGTAAGTTGAAGACATACACGTCGTTGTAGGATCAGACATTACTGGTTCCTAGCGATAGCCTCATAGAGAAACAAGAAGAAGATGGTCGTGGATTGGTGAAATAGTACGCTTTTCATCGTATAATGAGGTGAGATTCATATGTTATGACGTTCTTTTACAAAGTTATTTAAAAATACAGTCACTATACTTTGCATATCCCTAGTGTCATTCAGATCAGGCGGTTGTGTAGAAACTCTAAAATTGAACTTAAGGGATAGCCTAGAACGTTTAGGACAACACTAGAGACAATTATCCCTGGGTCGTTTAATGACATGATGCTTGAAATATCGGACTTTTTATACCACCAGGACACTTCTGTAGACAAAGTTGGTGAATTAGACGCAAATAGAATTATCTTAGTACACAGTTTTGTCCTTCAAATAACCAACTTACTGCTGATGCATTGCATGTGCTTCAAGTCATTTTATTGAGACCAGACAAACATAAAGCTTGCTAAAAAAAGATTGAGACAGCTTTCTTACCTCAACGCACAAAGTCGAGTATATTGTGGCCGATTGTTGTATTTGTGTGTTTTAAACGTTCTCCTCAAAATCTCGAATTCTAAATTAGTCACTTCGAATCTGCTTAATTCGCACTGTTTCTCCGATAAATTTTTTACCTAGCCGTTCATTTCTGCAATCATATTCATTATTTTCCGTTTTCTTCATACGTTTTGCCAAATTACTCATTCTGTCTCACAGTTTCATTATTATTAGTGCCAACTACAATCATGACTTTCTCTGAGTTCTGTATGCTTCGCACGTAACCCTTTATTTTTATTGTGTTTCAAAATAATAGTGGACTTTTGCTTTTGAAAACCGATATAACCTCCTGAATTTTACAGAACCTTATTTATATGATGAAGCCCAAAGTAGTTATTTTACAGTGCTTTTATATATGTCGCTTTTGTTAGTAATATTAAAACCCACCAAATATAACCGATATATCTGGATAAAGTTTACTGAGTTACTGTTGTAATTGTCTCAGTAGGTTAGTTGGGGTAAAAGTATTTCTAGGAACTCATGTTTTTAGATTATTCATTGCCCCTACAAAACAGAGTTAACTTTCTCCTACAGAAAAAGTATACATATTGAAGGTGAGTACGGTATAATAAACTGCTTCATGAATACTTCTTTACGGAAGGTTTGTAGAATATTGGTAACTAATTTTGTAACCGCGAAAACTGGTGACACTCGTCTCTGAAGAAAACAACGAGCACTGTGAATCGACCTATGTGAATATTTGATACAGTATGCAGTGGTGTGAACGTGAACGTATGCGTAAATTTGGCATAAGATGCATGAGAATGGTTAAAGTGTGTTTTGCAAATCAAAAACATACAGGGGAAATTGTACACAGAGTGCTGCTAATTACGAGATTGCAATTTAGGTTTGACAATACTAGATTATTTGCATTTGCGCCAACTGGTGAAAGACAGCACGCGCACATTTGAAAAGAGAGCAACGATTTGGTGTAAATTAACTTTGCTTTGGTGTATTTGTTGTAACGAAAGTATGATTGATCGACTTCAACTTGAATAATTTCGGTTAGTA